GAGGGAAGTTAATTAACTGAATCAGTAGCCGACACCCTTCGTATATACACACATTTTTGTTCTCCGTTTGTTTTATTTATTTTATTATTTTAATTTTATGTATGAGTATTTTGCCTGCATGTATAAAAGTACACCTGTGCATGCAATTTGTGAAGAAGCCCAAAGAGAGCACTGGATCCCCTGGAGCTGGAGTTATTGACAGTTGTTAGCCACCATGTGGGTGCTGGGAATTAAACCCAGGTCCCCTGCTAGAGTAGTAAATACTCTTAACCACTGAGACATCTCTCCAACCCCATGCCCACTCATTATTATTTTATTATTATTTTATGTGTATGAGTGTATTGCCTGAATGTATGTGAGTGCACCTGTGTTGTGCAATGCCTTGGAGGTCAGAAAAAGGCATTGGATCCCCTGAAACTGGAGTTATGGATGGTTGTTAGCTCCCATGTGGGTGCTGGGAATCAAAGCCGGGTCCTCTGTAAGAACAGTCAGTGCTCTTAACCACTGAGCCATCTCTTCAGCCCTATACCCACTCATTTTATAAGACTGCTATAAATGTGATGCTAAAATCACACAAGCATAATATAAGAAAAAGCAAGGTCAATGTAACTCATGGTCATAGATGAAAAGTCCTTAACAATATATTCATTAACTAAACCCAATTATCATTAGCTTAATTATCATAATGGCTTAACATTTGAAAAGTGAAGGACTGGGGAAATAGCTCAGTAGAAAAAGCACTTTCTGTTAGGCAAAAGTCTAACAACCTGGGTTCAGATCCCCAGAACTCACATAAAAGCCAGATACAGCAGGGCATGTCTGTAATTCCAGCATTCCTATGGGGCGAGGGGAGGTGAAAGGCAGACAAGACAGATCCTGTCTCATACCAGGTGAAAGGAAGATCAAACACAAGGTGATCCTCTGACCACCCCCCGCCCACACACACACAGACACTGTGGTACATGCATGCCTGTACTCACACACACGTAAACATGCACAAACATATTTGTACACACATACACACATACACACACACACACACACACACACACATACACACACAAGAACCAGAAAAGAAAACCTAATAATATAATGTAATCACATTAATGAATTGACTAAAGTAAGTGCATGTGATCAAAATGAAGTCAGGGCAGGTATATCAACAAACAAATGAGGTTTAATGACCAAATCGTTCTATAGCTTTTCAAATGTTATCTATAAAAGCCTATAACGAATATATTTTCAGCTAATGAGACCAGAAAAATAATTCTTTAACATCAAGAAGAAAACAGCAGGTCCAGTCCTCTCCCAATTTTGTATCAGAGACCTAAGCAATGTGATAAAGAGAAGGTGGGAGCTAGTCATGGTGGCTCAGGCCTATAATCCTGGCATTTGGGAGGCTAAGGTAAGGCTACCAGGAATTCAAGGAAAACCTGGGCCACAGTGTAAGATCAAATCAAAAATAAAAATGGAAAAAAAAAAAAGGTATGCCAGGCATGGTGCCACAAATCTTTAATCCCAGATGTGTCTCAATAAATAAATAAATAAATAAATACCAGAAAAAAAGGTGAGGGGAGGGAAAAATGCAATAATTTAGGGGGAAAAAACCCTATTTTAAAGATTGTATTCCTAATTATATCGAAAATCATAAGGACCTAGGAGTAAATCTTGTAAAACTATGAAAAATCTTTATGGAGATAATTACAAGATAATACAAAAGGACATTTTAAAAAAGCTGGGCAAAATGGCACACACCTACCACCCAAGAGGCTGAGGCCAGAGGATCTTAAGTTCAAGGCTGCCTGGACTTGGACTACAAAGTAAGACCCTGTCTCATAGAAGGGATTGGGGGAGAGGAAAGAAAATAAAATCATAAAATCTTTTTTTTTTTTTTTGTCTTTTTGAGACAGGGTCTCTCTGTAGCCCCAGCTGTCCTGGAACTCACTATGTAGAGCAGGCTGGCCTTGAACTCACAGATATCCGCCTGCCCCTGCCTCCCGTGTGCTGGGACTATAGGCCTGTACCACCATGCCCGACAAAATCATAAAATCTTTATGTAAGAATAGTGGCAAAGAGCATAGAAGGAAAACACTGATCATCACAGTGGGACAAAGAAACTATAATCATGACTAGGGAATATGTGAGTCCAACTTCTGACACTGACACAAAACTCTAAGAATGCAATGTTAAAATTCAGCTGCTGCTCAGGCCATAATCCCTGCAGCAGCCCTTCCCCTCTCACAGATACCAACAGGCACCGACTGAGACACTGTTGAGTTCCTAGCTAACGATTTCCAGGTGCCAGTGAGCTCACATCGAAGGGGGTATTGGTGGCCACACACCCTGCTCTCCAACCCTTCCTTGGCTCCTGCCTGGGAATCTGAGAGCCTGGCTATAGGCTTCTGCTGTGAAACTACCCCTGTCCACAGAAAGGTATAAGAAGAGACCCCACTTCTGTTAAGTAGGCCCTGTTTTCCTCTCTTCAGAACCCCTGTCATGTTGTATGTCTCTGCTGCTAGGGCCTAAACTCTCCTCAGAGCCCCCACCACACGGTTGTCTGTATGTCCATGGCATTAATAACTCTTCTAATAAACTTCACACCCAATAATCCATCTCAGCGTCCCTCTTAAGCCCCCATCTAAAACTTTTGAAAAACAACTATACAAAGCCAGAGCAGACTTTCAGATCAATGATTTCATTTTTGAATTAAAACACTTATTATTTCCAGTATACTGGGAAGTTTGACATATTTTGTGGTACATAGTTCTTTATCTCCAAGGGGCAGAGAAGACAATTAGAGCAGAGAAACAAAAGCATTAGACCTAGGTAGGTTCAAACCTACCTAAGAGCTCATTGACTGTAAGCTTAGAGTTGCATTACACTCACTCTGGAGACATAATCAGCTTAAATCAGGTATTTTATATTTGTGCCACTGTACACAAAATGCTGTCTGCTAAGTGAAGTTAAAGGGGAAAAAAAGCCCTTGCCAGTCATACATACAAATACTAACAAGAACTCAAAGTATACATTAGCCTTTTTAAATAAGGCTTCTTCATTTTCTCAGTCTACCTACCTGAATATTCTGGCAATGTTGGTGCAGACATCTTTGTCATCCATGTTCTGTCCTATCACTATGCAGAGCTGGGGAAGGGCATCGATGTTCAGGAGTTTATTTCTTGCTACGGGTGAATCAGCCAAGTTCCTCAGTATAGCAGTTGTCTAGGATAAAGCATGCTTGCGTCATTTTATTTCTTTTTAACTATTTTATTATTTTTTATTTTCTGTGTATGCACACATATATGTACATATATGTAAGTGTACCCATGTCATGCAATGCCCATGGAGGTCAGAAGAGGGCATCGGATCCCCTGGAACTGGAGTTACCAACAGTTGTTAGCTTCCATGTGGGTTCTGGAAACCAAACCCAAGTCCTATGCAAGAGCAGCCAGTGCTCTTAACTGCTGAGCCATCTCTCCAGCTCCTTGTGTCATTTTTTGCTAGAAAATAGAGCAATATCACATCATTAGGTAAACCATGGTCCCTAGGAGTCGCCCACTAGGGACAGTGGGCCCACACACAAGCAGTATGAAATGAAAACAAAGAAACAGTTTAACGAGGAAACAGTTTAAAGGTAAAGAATGGAACATGACTGGGTGTAGTGGTACATGCCTGTAATCCCAGCATGAGGACGCTGAGGCAGAAGAACTACAAATTCAAGGCCAGTCTGGACAACAGAGACACCTTCTGTGAAAAAACAAATGAGCAAACGTAAATGTGGACTATTAATAGTTAGGTAAATACTTCATCAAACTCCCAGAGTTAAGTAAATCATCACCTGCTTGTTGGCAGTCATAAGATCTTTGACCCTGTGAAAACCATGAGAATACTGCCTACTAGAAACTTTCCATTCTAAATTCCTTAAAAAAAATTAGATTTAGTTTTATTTTCACTTAAGTGTATGTGTCTATATGAATGTATAGCATGTGTGTGATCCCTGGGGAGGCCAGAAGAGGGCATCAGATCTCCAGAGCTGGAGCTACAGGTGGTTGTGAGCCATTTGGTGTGGCTGTTACATCTAAACTCAGATCCTCTGGAAGCTGCTAATTATTTTTTTATGATATTTATTGTGTGTGTGTGAGAGAGAGAGAGAGAGAGAGAGAGAGAGAGAGAATGTATGTACAAGTGTGTATGATATATGTGTGAATGCGCACATATTATGACATGTATGTGGAAGTCAGAGGACAACTTGTGGGAGTTGGTTCTCTCCATGTGGGTCCCAGGGATCAAACTCAAGTTATCAGGTTTAGTGGCAAGTGCTTTTACCTACTGAGCCATCTCACTGGTACCTAATTTCTTTGTTGTGGTTATTGTTTTGAAGACAGAATCTCAGGTAGCCAGGGAAGTGTCAAATTTGCTATATATTTGTGACTGACCTTAACTTCTGATCCTCTTGCCTCCACATGCTAAGGTCATAGCAGTATACCACTGTTCTGGTTTGTTTCTTCATTGCTGTGACAAAACACTCTGACCACTACCACCTTGGAGAGGAAAGGGTTTATTCACCTTACATCTCCCAGGTCGCAGTTCATCAGGGAGCCCAAGGTAGGAACTTAGGGCAGGAACCTGGAGGTGTGGAACACAGGCCATGGAGGACCACTGCTTACTGGCTTGCTCCCCTGGCCCCTGCTCAGCCTGCTTTCTTATACAACACAGGCCCACCTGCCCAGGGGTGGCACCACCCACAGTGGGCTGGGCCCTCTCACATCACTCATCAAGAAGATGCCCCTCAGACATGGCCACAGGCCAGTCCAATAGAGGAAATCCCCCAATTGAGGCTCCCTCAAGCCAGGTGTGTCAAGTTGACACTAAAGCTGTCCAGCACAATTGACCCTTGTCAACTTGACACACAAACATCACTATTAAACCATAACTTTCCAATTCTTATCCCTAAGATATGATGTTAACATTATCACGACATAAGACAGTACAACCTTAAAAGACCAATAGTCCTTAAAAAAATCTAAACACAGTCTCTTTTAAAAGTCTCTTAACTGGGGGCTCCTGTAAAATCCGAAACAAGTACTGTCTTATTTCAAAGGGAAGAATCGGGCACACCTAAGCAAAACCTAGTCCTTAAAAAATCCAAACACATTCTCTTTTAAAAGTCTCTTAAGTGGGGACTCCTGTAAAATCCAAAACAAGTACTGTCTAATATAGGCTGCTGTCCTTGGTGGTCGTCCCATGGTCCCAGCATCTCAAAAAAGCTGGGGTCTCCACTGAAACTGAGGCCACACCTTCACCAATGGCCTCTTCTTGCCTCTTGGGGTGCAAAGCCTCAGATTCTCTCCATGACCCCTTCAATCCTGGGGTCTTTGCTGCAACTAAAGCTGCACTTTCACCTATGGCCTTTCCCGGCCTCTCAGAGTGCCAAGCTTCAGCTGCTCTCTGTGACCCCTTCACGCTTTCAACACCAGAACCATGCAGGAGACTCTTACACATTACCAAGTCCTGCTTCCAGCTTGAAATAGAGGTGCGGGTCCCCTCTGTGTGCTGACCCTGAGGAAATACCTCCCAGAAGACTCCACCACAGTGATGCTGGTCTCTTGTTACTTACAGTTGATTTTTCAGCCCCAGCTAACCAGCATCAATTGTCCCAGTAAAGCAAAGGATTTGCTTCAGGTTCTGAGCTCTTCTTAATCCCAGCTGATTCTTCAGCCCCAGCCAACCAGAACCCCTAGATTCTCAATTCAAAATCTCACATGAACACCCCTGATAGTCTGCTTCCCTTTGAAGCTTCACAAGCCAGGCCTCCATTGCCCACAACTCTTTCAGCATAACTATTCCAAGCTCCACAGCAACAAACTCTGAGCACGCAATGGCTTTTCCAGCCCAAAGTTCCAAACACTTCCACAGTCCTCCCCAAAACACCAAGGTCAGGTCTGTCACAGCAATATCCCACTCTCTGGTACCAATTTCTGTCTTAGTTTGTTCTTCATTTCTGTGACAAAACACTCTGACCAATACCAACTTGGGGAGGAAAGGGTTTATTTAGCTTACATATCCCGGGTCACAGTTCATCAGGGAGCCCAAGGTAGGAACTCAGGGCAGGAACCTGGAGGCTTGTTGCTTACTGACTTGCTCCTCTGGCCCCTGCTCAGCCTGCTTTTTTATGCAACACAGGCCCATCTACCCAGGGATGGCACCACCCACAGTGGGCTGGGCCCTCCCATATCACTCAACAATGAAGAAAATGCCCCACAGACATGGGAAATTCCCATTTGAGGCTCCCTCAACTCAGGTGTGTCAAGTTGACACTAAAGCTATCCAGCACAACCACTATGCCAAGTATCTCTAAATTCTGATGAAGCCAATTTAAGACTTTTAGTCTAATTTTCTTCTAAGAGGCAAATATTGAGATCTCACAGATTTGTCTTATTTTGTTAAAAATAATTATTACAAGAAAGTTATCTACTTTTGGCCTTTGTCTAAGAGTCAAGAAGATAACTCAGTAAATCTATAGCAGTGATTTTGCTATCTACTCATTTTAGTTTTCAGGGTGATCTTTCCCTGTGGGATTAACAGACAAACTGCTGGTGAACAGTCATTCAATCCCCCAGCTTGAGCCTGGTTTAGTTATTAACTCTCCCAGAGCACATTTTTCTCATCAGTTGGGTGGGGTAGTACTAACTGACTGTCCTGTGTTTATAAAGATTCAATGAAAGGAGATGATGAGATATGTTCATGGCACTGCTAAGGCTCACTGCCCAAGGATGCTCAGAATGATGGGCCCATCCCCACTGTACTATAGAACTCCCAGAAGTACAGGAGAGAACAGGGGTCTTAGAGTTGAGTGACAGTGATTTAATCCTGAATCTCACTCTTGTTTTATGACTAGGGCAGTCACTCCTTCACCCCTTGTAACCTCATCTATGGAAAGGGGGCTACTTTCAGGGTAGCTGTGTGTATTAATTGCAAAACATGGAAGAATGTTTTTGCATACATTTTTTTTGCATACATTTTTTTTCCAGGATAAGATTTAGAGGCCTGGGGATGGAGAGATGTCCCAGTGGTTTAGAGCACTGGCTGTTCTTGCAGAAGACCCAGGTTCAAATCCTAGCACCCACATGGCAGCTAACAACCATCAGTAAATCCAGTTCCAGGGGATCCGATACTCTCTTCTGTCCTTTGCAGGCATTGCATGACATGGGTGCACTTACACACATGCAGGCAATGCACCCATACACATAAAATGAAATTTTAAAAAAAGACATTTTTTAAAATTAAAAAAAAAAGATTTAGAGGCCTGATGAACCTCTTGATCTTCTGGTTCTTATCAACCACTCAAACTTCATCTTTGCCATCAACCCCACAAAAGCTCTATTTGCCTCCCTGTCTGTCTCCTCCAGGCCATGAGGTTCTGAAACCCATGTACAAGCCTGGTATGAACATCTACCAAGGAAAGACTGGGTATGAACAGAGAGGCTTAGAGTGGCTCAGACAACTTTTCTAGGGAGATGGATTTCAAGACGATACTGAAGGAGGAAAGTACTTAAAAAAAAAAAAACTGATGGAGGAAAATGGACTTTCTGTTAGGGACTGGTTCCCTGTGTCTATTCATGTCTTTTCTCTGTTTATTAGACAGAAACTCTTTTCAGGGTCCTAAACTCCCAGGCTCCTTCCCCTTTCCACACCTGACTGTTTACCCCTTTCACCTCCTCCAACCACCACCAGCTCAGCTCCTACAACTTCACCCTTCCCAAACTCTGCAGCCCTCTGAGTGGGAGCTTTCCATCATCTCTCCTTGTCCAGCTCTCCCCAAGGCCACTCCTGTGGACAGCGGGCTTCTCAAAAACCTATCCTTCCTTGATCAAAGACTTCCCATATCCCAGGGCCAGGGGACAACATCCACATCCTAAAGGCTCTCACTTTCTAATATGTAGTCCACGCCTCCAAATTCACCTCCTGCACCCCCTTCTACCCTTCCACAAAATGTTCTCCCCATCCCCTCCCTATCCAAATCCATGTCTTTAAACAGACCACTTCCTCCACTCAGAAGGTCTTCATCAATACCTCTTCCGCCTCCTCCACCTGACCTCCTGCTCAGCAGGGTCCAGGCTGCGCAGTGAGGGAGCAATGTCTCCTTCTGTGTTAATCACCACCCTCCTCAAGCTTCTCTCTCTCTCTGCCACCACAGACTTAATAACCATCGCATTTATGCG